ATTATATTATATTATATTATATTACCTATATTATATCATTCCAAATTATATTATATGATACCATATAGCTTCTATTCCAGTCAAAGCTGGCAGCTCCGTCCGTGAAAGCCGGTACGGCTCAGGTGAAAACCCACGCATTCCCACGCAGCGCAGAAGAACGGACATGACTTGGAGGTTCATATGTAGTTATAAGTGAAGTTATAAGTAGGGTAACTATAATAATAACCCAGATTAGGGGACTTGTAACCCATATTACGGGACTTGTAACCCATATTAGGGGGCTTATCACCCATATTAGGGGACTTATACCCCTACTTATAACTACCCATGAGTCTCCAAGGAGGGCAAGACCCAAGCGCCCGGACCTAAGTCTCTTCAGGCATCCAAAGCCCTGGGGCTCCAGCAAGTGCCTCAACAAAAGGCGACCGCTAATATAGCCCACAGACAGCAGGATCTTGAAAGTCAGGGAATCCCCAAAACGGAAGACCCAAACCCAAATTACTACCAGAACGCCCCATTGAGAAACAAAACAGCGAAGTGACGAACACCGGGCCGCTGCAAGTCGACAAATGTCGGGGGCTTTGCAGTCCTTGCGCTACTCGCGCAGCGGTGGCCTGGAGGTCTTGGACCAGCTGAAGGCTCAAAGTGAAGAGCAGGAGGTAAGCATGAGAACGCACCGTCACCACGACTATAGCACTGATACTGCTAAACTAAACCGCTACTTGCCGCTGCCGCTGCTGCTAGTCGTCCGTCCGAGCGGACGTGTCATCGAAGGGTTGCCGCTACGCCACCTAGCTCAGTTGTCGTGCTTCTTTACAGACATTTCACAGCAGTGCAGATGTTGTCTGATGCGGATGCACCGATAGCTGGAAAAAGCATGTGTCAAGAACGTGCCCAGCAGTTGTGATCAGACTCGGTGTCGACCCATGCTAAGCTTTCCAAGTCGAAGTGCAGGACATCTGCAGCAATCCGGCAGGTGCCTCAAAGCAAGCAGTACACGCCGATTAAGAATGCGGAGGATGCATGGCCACCCGGCAGCCTTGCATCAATGATCGGTGTAGTTGCTTGTGTGAGGCAGTTCTGCAACATTTTGGCAAGACTCTTTTCGTCCGCAAACTCCGGCATCAGAGAGAGCCTGCCTGAAGCCGCGTTGGACCTTCCAGTCCCAGGAAGGCTGTGCGGTCCATGCAGGCGCGACGGATGTCCCTTGTGAGAGAGGTTCGCTGGGTCTCGATCTCAAGCGGCTGTTGCGGCCTCTGCTCTCAACGAAGCTCATAAACCCTAAACCCAAAAACCCAAAAACCCTAGAACCCTAAAACCCGAAAACCCTAAAGCCCTAAAACCCTACAGCCCTAAAGCCCGAAAACCCGAAAACCCGAAAACCCTAAAACCCTAAAACCCTAAAACCCTAAACCCTAAACCCTAAACCCTCATACCCTCATACCCTAATTACCCTAAGTGATCCCGGCCTTGCCCCCCTCTCCGCAGGTCCGCGGAGCTCCGCTGATCGCCATGGTCTCAGCGCTGGGCCTGGCAGTGGAGGCGCCGCTTCCACTTCTTCTGTGCTTAAAGGATCATGGGACTTAATAAGTCGGGTTATAATTAGGGTAACTATACTTATAATCCCAATTGGGGGACTTATGACCTTACTTACTAAGTCCCATGATCCTCCAAGCGGGGTAAAGAGTAGACCGAGTGCATGACCTAGCTTTCAGGGTTTAGGGTTATGGGGTTACGGGGATTATGGGGGTTATGGGGTTTATGGGGGTTATGGGGGTATGGGTTATGGGGTTATGGGGTTTAGGGTTTAGGGCATCAGGCATGGTATATATGCGTTGTGCACCTCACGGTTGAATGAGTACATGTATACACCAAGCAAATGGTATTGACCTAGTTAGCCACACTGGTCCTGGTTCCGGGGCTTGTCTTAGAGCAGGACCGTCGTTGGGCTATAACTCGGGTGCCCACTTTTCAATCCATGAAGATGCGCACATATCTTTGCAACATTTGGACAAACAAACATCCGCACAGCACGCACAAATCTTCATTTGTTGGAACTAGCTTTCCAGCCCAGTATTGAAGTGTCATCCGAGTCTTCACTGGCTCGGGCTCAAAAGTCCGTCGATCGCAGCTCGTGCAACCTTGAACCTTGCATGCGAGCCAAGTTCAATGTTGGTTGAGCTCAGTGCGTCGAATGTTGTACCGTTGCGCTGGATCCGCCAGATCCATCTCTAGAGGTTCATGTCGCTGACATTTTCGTGACTTTAGTCTGTATTGTCTTGTGTCGGGCACGTGCTGTGAAACCCGCTGCCGAAGCTCCAGTATACTCCCTTCTATACTGTCCATCAAGTCCAGCTATAAATGCAGGCTGGCATTATGCTTTAGGGTCCCTGTCCATCGCAAACGTTGTAAAACACTGGAATGCAACTCTGATCAGAAATCTTGAGGCATGTTCATCCAAGCATCTCTGTAAACCGTTTTTGTCGAGGCACCTGAAGGAGTCCGAAACAAAAAACCTCCGCAAGCCTTCAAAGCTCTACTGTAATCCTGAGTACGTGTCCGGTGTCCCTACGACTCCGAGAGTTTAGGTTTTTCAATCTCTGCTTCACTCCTGACTGATAAAAGCTACAAACCTCTCCAAGTCCCAATAAAATTCCTTGAGGTCTGGAAACCGGGAATCACGTAAGCCTAGGCAGAACATCGACTTGAATCGTGATTTGCTTCCCGCGACCAGCATAGCCGTATGTCTTGTCCGGCTTTTACATGTATGTGCATAATTTAGGCCCTTTCTCAGTGTCAGCAAGTTGGGATGCTTGGATCTAAGTTGTGCTTATTGCTGCATGACCACACCTTTGCAATCCCTAGTGCAGCCTGCACGGTACTCTCCTTAATCAACCCGCACTTGTGCTGAGATCTGCACACGTCTTGCACGGCTTACGAAGAGACGGGTGCCTCGTGTCGGCTTAGGTCAATATGGGGTCTGGCAGTTTAGTATGTTTGGGTCTACTTGAACGCAGCTTCTGGTAGGAGCTTATTGATTGAGTGTCACGAGCTGAACCTAATGATAAGGATCTACATTTGGAGTACAATCACGACCCAAGAGCACCGCCGAAACTTGGAGCATGCGGCGAACTGATGGAATCACTGCAGGAAGGATGTTCAACAATTTACTGATAGTGCTAGCGTGCATAATTTTTAACGCTACGCCGCCCGCCTCGG